AAAACCTACACAAATATTTATAATGAAATGGATTTGAGGAGGACCAAGCATGGTGACTAAAATGTACTAGCAACTCAGTTAACCATCCACTAGATTCATCTGGCTTCGTTTTAATATATTAATTTTATTTTATCAACGGCTCTTGAAACATCATCACATTAATGGATTTTAAACAAGTGTTTTCCATTTTGGTGCTTCAATTTTTCATAACTTTTTAAACCACAGTTTGGGTTAGATATTTATCAACTTTTGGCCCAAGTTTTCATATCTATAAAAAAAAACCCAATATGCTTGGGCACCAACTTAATAAAAGGATAGGAAAGTATAGCATGTTCAGCCAATAGTAGCCCTCAGGAAGTTTCTACTCTTAAAATGAATAACATTCCCTATAAATTATATTAAAATTTTTAGTTTGCTTTTTTTAATGTCCCATTCACTTTTCAACTGAGTTAAGTAAAGGAAAAATTGCCAGTCATTGATTATACAACAGCAGATAATCTACTTGTAACCCTTCTATTTTATGCCATCTTAAAAACAAAAGCATCAGATATGGAAATGAGCAGTTTTATATTTCGTCTAGGAAAAAAACTGAAGGTAAGAGTGATTTATTCAGATGTTTTCCCTATAAGTAAGCTTATCATATAAACAGACTCTTTCGATTCCTTTCTGTTCCAACTGTAAAAAAATTTTCACTTTTATTAACCAAAAATATTTTACATGGAGGCAGAAGGAGAAGAATGGGTTGCTTGGCTGCGCCTTCTGAGCTCTTCTGACAACCATGGTTTTTTCACTGTTTGTTCTTGGTAAATTTCAAATCCGGAGGCATTAGTGATATTTATTCAAACTAAGACATGCTCTTGGCATTGCCAAACTCTAATTTATTTCTGTTAGAATTTCAATGGCTCCTAAAGTTTTTCTCATTCTTCTAACATTTTTCTTAATATTTTTCCAGCATAAATTTAGATTTGGCATATTGGTACCATAAAATTTATCTTTAGTAGTAAGAAAATGCATTCCACCCTGACCAGAAGTCTGCCGTTGTGTGTGTGGTACTGAGGTTTTCAGGCCATGGTTGTGAGATAGTTTTCTGTCATCTTTCCTCTCAATCCACCTCCTACGCACAAACACAGGGTGGATGGGAGAGAGAAGTATGTATATGGCAGATGGAGTTTGTAGGAAACAGCGTGAAAGAATCATGAAAAACAGTTTTGGAACCAAATGTTAGGTTTTTAAAAGCATTTTTAAGGATGAAATATTAGAATGTTTATATCTTAAAACATTCATTGTAGTGTTGGTCAATTGGCCAACTCCCAACATCTTTCTCCATTATTGTAATTACACTTGTTTATATATACATATATATTTGATTACGTGTATAGATTATATATTGATATATTTATTATAACTACACTTGATTATAATATATATTCAGTTTGGACTTTTCAAACTGCATGTGCAAGCCTCCTTAGCTCGCATACATGTTACATGTAGTTTCTATCAGTTTTTCAACTGTGTCTTTTGAAGAACATTTGAATGCCTGCTATTTTTTAATTGCATTTTGTTACATTTTCTAGTGCATTTAACATTAAAAAATGGATAACGTATTAGTTATATGGCAGTTATGCTTTTATCTATGGCCAGAATACAATCCATCTGGTGTTTTTAAAACCAGTCTAAATTTGAAACAACGAGGACCGTAAAAACAAGTATATAATATATTCACAGTTTTTTCAAGGCTTAATTTTTTTTATTTATTGATTTAAGAAAGAGAAAAAAACATCAATTTTTGTTGCTCCACTTATTTATGCATTCATTGGTTGATTCCTATATATGCCCTGACCAGAAATCGAACCCACAACCTTGGCATATTGGGATGACGCTCTAACCAACTGAGCTACCCAGCCAGGGTCTCAAGGCTGATTTTTAACATCTAATTGTGCTATCAAATAATCATATAATATAAATCTCATAATGACAGAATTTCCTAAGGAGATAACTCCTGTGAAACAAAGGAAATCTTAGTGTGATGAAGAGCAGGACTCTAAAACCAGACGCTCTGGGTTCACAGTTGAGCTCCATAGCTTTCTTCTATGTGACCGTAGTCCAATACCTAACTTCTCTGTTTCAGTCCTGTCCTTTATAAAATGGAGGTAATGATACAGCCTGCACTTTGTGGGATTGCTGTGGAGGTTAAGTTATAACATGTTATCATAACATAGTATGTTATAAATAATAAAAGAATTACATGTAAAGTACCTAGAATATTTCCTAGCACATGGTAAGCATTCTATGTTTGCTATTACTATTATTGTCAGTGGAAGAATGGTTCAGTTTATCTCTCTCAGACTTATTTGAAACATTAGAAGTCAAAAGATAATATTAAAGGAAGTATTTCTCTTATGCTGCTTCTTATTGATGTGTGCAGGTTGTGGGCAGGGTTATGGAAGCTGCAGTACCTGATTAGGAAGATGGGTTTACACAGAAATCTCATCAGCAAACACGAGAGGACTTACGGGTAGAAGCCTCAATTTTTAGCACTTTGATTCATTTCAGTTTTCTCTTTTTGAATTGACTTTACTTGTTTTTCTAGGTCCAACTTACATGTCTTCCCTTATTCACTCACCTCTCTTCTTCCAATGAAAAATAATCTTTTTGGCCATAAAATTTTGTTTATACCTTAATAGAGCACTAATTATAGTTGGCTGGATGATATAGACGTGGCATGGTGAATGTACTAGTTACCCTCTAATTATCCCTCCTTTCATAAGCCCTACTGTTAGTTTAGTCTGGGTTTTATTTCATTCTCTGGGATTTGCTTTCATTTCTAATGTCCATTATTACAGGAAAGGCAATATAGCTAGGGACTGAAGCTCCTCCCGCTACCAACTAAGCGTTCATAATTAATCGGTACTGTAGATGGGATCTACTTGGAATTTTGCTACTGAAATAACATTTGAGAAATGAAAATTGCTATCAATTTGTGATGCTTTACTGGCTAAAATGTATAGACTATCTAGGAATGAAAAATGTATAGATGTCTAATATACTTTGAGAATTTTATTCTATCTATAAAAGTAAACTTTCATGTTTCAGTTAATTCAATAATAGAATATTTTTGAAGGTCACGGCAGTCAGGATGATATCAGCAAATTATATGCCATTTTATGGTATCCACTTTAAATGCACTTATTTTCTTTTAAATAAGAGTTACCTTATTTCTTTTAAATTACTTTAGATCTGGCTCAAAAACTATTTCACTGATGAATCTTTATTGGTTGACATGTTTTAAATTTTAAATTTGTTGCTAATTTTGCACAATGCAAAAGATGACATTGAGTGCTGGCACAGCATGTATGACCACTAAGATTTTCTATCCAATAGTTATTAAGTGTATTTATTCAATCTGTGCGTGGCTTTTCAAGACTCCTTACTGACATCCTCTGCAAAAATTGAAGACCAGATTCTAATAAGACCAGATTCTAGTTCAGTTCTTTATGGGAGATAAGGTAATATGATGTATTAAAAAAACACTCACTTTAGAATAAGACATAGCTGGGCTTCACTTATGGCTTTAACACTTAGACTGCGTGACTTGGGACTAGGTATTTAATTGCTCTAAACTTCAGTTTACTCAGCTATAAAATAGGTTAGAAAAAAAACAACATAAAGGATTTGTGAGCATTAAGTAAATAAAATCATTTATGCTATAATCTACGTTGTAACTATTAAGAAGAAGATTTCTTCAAAAAAAAAACAAACACTCCTCTTAAAGAAGCTTACCATTGATATTTTTAATCCAAACTCTCAGTGTATTAAAAATTTAATACAAGGTTTGATCTTTTTAAAAAAATTTTTATTTATTTTTAGAGACGGGGGCGGGGGGCGGTGGGGAGGAAGGGAAGGAGAAAGAGAAGGGAGAGAGACATTAATGTGTGGTTATCTCTTGCGCTCCCCTTACTGGGGACCTGGCCCACAAAACCCAGGCTTTGTGCCCTGACTGGGAATCAAAACAGTGACCCTTTGGTTCACAGACCAGCACTCAGTCCACTGAGCCACACCAGCCAGGGCAAGATTTGATCTTTAAAGGCTCATGTCTAGCTGTATCATCTCCTTGTTACTCACTGTTGTAACCTTTTGGACATTCCCTTAACTATCACTAAATGTATCTTTCTATCAATTTTAATTTCAATTACAGTGCTATCATCAGCACTGTAAGTGGGTGATTTATCTGGTATTCTGGCCTCATACTTCCTTGAGCCCGGCATGAATGTTGACCTTCATCTCCGCTTCACTTCATGTAGCTACTGCAGTGGCCACAGTAAAATTGTCACTGGAAGTACAGTATTAGTCCACCTTCAGATCACCATTCGCCAGCATCAATCTCTAGCCTTCCACCTTACTTGTATAACTACTTCCACTTTAATGTTTGTCATCTCATCAGGATTACATGTACTTTGTTCCTTCCACTTTCTCCTAATCTGTCAGCCCTTCTGTGTGCCGTTCTCTTCCCTTTCTCTGCAAGTGAGATCCCAAGGCCTATTTCCACTTCAGTCGTTCCCTCGCTCATACCCCAGACTTCATTTCCATTTTAATACTTGTGACCACTATATTATATCTTTTACTTAAAATATTTTGTAACACACTTATTAACATCTCAAAACCTCAGTTGTCTCATGGATAATATGGTATTAATAATAATATATAATATAATATGGTATCATGATATTAAACAAGTTGCTGTTTAGTCTGCCTTCTGCCCTTGTGGAGAAAAGTTACGAACAAAGGTAACATGACATTTAGAGACAGACCACGTTTGCCCCTGCGTGTGCTGCTACAGAAAGTAACCAAGCCAGGCAAACACAACACACAGTTTGGTTTCCCATCTTCTCAGGGCTCCTGAAGATGGTGAGAGAGTCCAGCTCCACAAAAGCTCGTTTATTAACCTTTAGAAGATGGATGCTTATGTATTTAGAGTAACTGAATGTATGTTTACGTTTTAGAAATCTCCGAGAAGCAAGGGATAATGCTTTGGCTGAGAAGGACCGAGCAGTGATGGCTGAAAAGGATGCTTTAGAAAAACATAATCAGCTCTTAGACAGGTAAGCAGCCTCAAACTAGAAATCTTAAAACTCCTATTTTTGTTCTTGTCACTTGGATTTTAAAAATTATATTTTTAATAAAGTATAATTTTTATTTCAATTGAAGTATAATATACATGCGTTATTTTTACAATGTATAATTTTTTTATACTTTGAAACAAGATAAAGAGCAATTCACTCACGCTGGGGAGTTTGCAAACACTGATTTCTGTAACAATAGTTTAGTTTTGCTGTTTCTGGACTAAAACGAAATGGTATATACTCCTTTGTGTCTAGCTTCTTCCACTCAGCCTTATTCTGTGTTTCATCCATTTATTCCTGTATCAGTGGTTCATTCCTTGCTATTGCTGAGTATGAATATACGTACCACAGTTTGTGTATTCATTCACCTATTGATGGGCATTTTGGTTGTTACCAGTTTGGAGCTACCATGAATAAAGCTGCTATGAGCATCTGTTATACATGTTTTTTTGTGGGCATATGTTTTTATTTATTTCTCTTGGATAAATGCCTAGGAGTGGAATTGTTGATCATAAAATAAATTAATATTTTACTTTAAGAGAACCTGCCAAAGTAGTTGTACCATTCATTGTACATTCTCCAGTTCATTTTTTGAAAATCTTTATGTTTTGGTTCATGTTTAGGAGGGAGGGAGAGGAAGAGAGAATGATTTATCTTTCATTTATCAATAGTAAAGGATATTTAATAGGCTAATTACACAGAAAATCATTAATGAATATTAAGGTGAACATCATTACCTCATTGAACACTGCATTTTTCAGTGGTTTGACTATATGGAGAATAAATAGTGCTTAACTTTTTAAAAAACTTTTTATTTTGAAATAACTTCAGACAGAAAAGTTACTAAGATAGTACAAAAAGTTTTCATATACCTTTGACATACTGATAAACTTGGAAAATAAGTTGAATGGGTCTTTTAATTGTTAAATGTATAGTTGCAGATTTATTTGTGATTTAAGCAATACATGAAACTAAAGATTGAGGCAAGTCTTCATATAGTTAACCTATTTTTAATTTTTTAGATTGTCAAAATCTTTTAGAATGGCTTGAATTATTATACTTCTGAATATACATCAACTTTATAAACTTGATTGACCCATCAAAGAACTTGAATAAATGTAATATTGAAGAAGTCTTTCCTATAATGTGAAAATATGTCTAATTCCAAAGATCTTAATATAAATTAAATTTATAAATCAGCTGTTTTTGTGTATTACAACCTATCTTTAAACTTATCTTCTATTATGTATAACCCTTCTATTTATGTATCTACATGATTTGCACTAAAGATTTACTTGGCTTTTTTGTGGATTTTGTTGTTTTGATGTTTTTAAATGTGATAAATTTAGTAATGGCTCTAGAATAATATTTATGAACAAACTAACAAACTTTAAAAGAAAGCATAAGATCTTAGCTAGTAAACCAAGCAGAATTTTATAACTTGCTAGCTTTGGTATGTTCTTGTGAATTTGGAAAGAGGAACATAGTAAATCAGACCTTAAAATAGGCCACTTTATATTTATACTAAACTCTGTAATCTTCTTAACACCTAAAATTACTCTTTACCTACTTGTTCAGAGACTGGTATTTATCCTAAAGGCCATGGGATACTTTGTACCTAAAAGTATCTTCTGAATTACTGAGAATTCAATTATCTAATGCTTATTAAGCACATAGAACAGTGTCTTGCACATTAAGTAGTACTATGAAAACATTTGCTAAGACTGTAGAAATGTTTGCTTTTATTATTGTAAACTAATTTGTTTAACTATTTCTATTATTAATCTTTACTAATGAAATTTTTGTTACTAAAAAGTTGGTATCTTTCCAAATCATTTTCCATTAGACTATTGAATAAACTGGTACAGCTCATTTTTAAATTGCCAGAGGAGAGGGACTTTAGCTCCTTGAAGTGTTAGTCAAAAACCTTGCTTATTCAGAGCCTGATTTTCAACCAGCCTTAAATGCAGTAGTTTTAAATCAATCCAAACAAGGAGAAAAACAGAGTATTTCTAGACACAATAGAAATAACCTACGAGCAGCAAATAGCGTTGATGCTCACGCCTTTAAAGGGCATTAGGGGACCAAGCATTTATTGACTGAATAAATGAGAGTGATACCCTGGAATCTAAAACTCAAAACGAGTGTGGGCTTTAACAAAATGCTTAAAACAGGTAAAGGTACTTGTTTGTTTGTTTTTAAGCTATAATATCAGCAAATAAAAGGAAAATCTCTACTTTAAGGCTATAATGTTGCTAGATGACTTCAAAAGAGGAGGATTCTTGGTGTCTCTACAGTTTCATTCTTTCTTAATTTATGCAGTTGCAATTCATGTTAATGTAATGCAATACAATTCATGTTAAAAATTTCAAGACTTTTTCCTGAAACTTGAAAACTTTTTTCAGAATTGGAATGGCTGTTCCTTTCCCTATTGTACCTTCACTCTTCCATATGAGTTTTTATAGTTATATTTTTCATATTATACCTATCATCCATCCAAAGTTTATTTTAGAGAATGGTGTACATACAGAACAATTTTTTATGAAAATGTCAGTTTTTTTAAAGTTAAACTATACATTTAATGGGATCCGTATGAAAATACCAGCCAGGTTTATTTTTATGTCTACACACTACCTTCCTGTTGTTGGGTGGTATTGGAGTTGCACAGGCCTTTTGGGATCCTGGTAAAGGGGATTGAGGTAGGGATGCATTTGGATTGAGTGGTTTGGAGTCACTTCTGTTTCATAGTTAATTTATTGCTAGCCATTTCTGAGTAGCAGTGGCTTCCAGGAAACTCTTATTATCTACTATGCCTGACCCCCATATATGGTGAGAGATAAGAATGTGTTTCAGGTACCCTTTACTGGAACCAGGAATTTTATTATTTTATTGTATTTTATTTTATTAATTTTATATTTTATTTTATTTCTTTTTTCCTCCTCCCCTCCCTCCCTCCTTCCCTCCCTCCCTCTTTGTTTCTTCCTTCCTTCCTTCCTTCCTTCCCTTCCTTCCCCTCCTGTCCCCTCCCCTCCCCTTCTCTTCTTTCATTCTCGTTGTTTCTTTCAAAAAGGGAATTTAAATATAGAATACAAAATGAAATGCATCCAGAACTCCCTTTATTCCTACAAGCTTACCCACACAAAACCTTCTAAAATCATTTCATACCACAAAATGGCTAGCAAAGAATAAAAAGGTATTAAGCTTCCAAAAAGTTTTGGAAGGGTACAAAAAGCCCCTTCCAAGAGGTTCAGCTTGAAGGTGATGACTGGGTCAGAGAAGCCCGCTTCTGGAGGGGGCCACCGCTTGCTCTATTACAGCAGTAGGCCAACACTGCTGTAACAGACACCCTGAGCATGCAGTTGGCTGGAGCTGCTGGTCGGGAGGCAGACCATTTATTCCCTTTATGCATCCTTCACTTGCTTCACTCTCAAATCCAACCTCTGCTCCACAAGTGCCTGAGAGAACCAATGCATCGTGACTTTGAGGTGGAGGGGCTTATCTGAAAAGATGACGCGGAACCAGCCAGGCTCCTCGCACATGTAGGACGTGTATGATACCAGGGGACAATACTAGCTTGTTGTCCAGGATGAAGCTATAAAGAAGCAGCTCTTCCTCAAATGTGCATGGGTCCAGATACTCCTTAAAGCTGATCCAGACATGAAGGCCAGAGCCCCAATTGAGAAAAGGGGTCTTAAGTGCATTCTACTTGTTAGTGATGTACCTGTGAGCTGCCTGCAGCCGACAGCAGTTAGTGGGCGGGTGCACACTGTCAGTCCAATCTCAGCCCTGGAGCAGCCGACACAGTGTGTGCTGGTGATGCCAGAGATGCCGCAGAGGAAGCCAAAGGCATTCACGGCAGGGGCCACCTCCTTGTTGTGGGAGCGCAGAGTGCCAAAACGCAAGCGAGAGATCAAAACCCTTACCGGTGCTCCAGATCAAATGGGTCCTGTTGGGCTCAGGCAGACTTTCCATACTCAGAACACTGTGGAATGCAATGGAATCATCAAATACAGACAGCATGTAAATCTCATCTATAATCACACAGAGGTTGTACCAGTTGGCAAATTCCAGGTACTCCTTCAGTGAGTCCGGGGGTAGGTGTTTCCCAGAGGATTATGAGAGTTGATGAGCACTAGGCCTATGACCTTTTCCCCCTTAAGACTAGCCTCAAGCAGGGCTTTCTCCAGCTTGTGCAGTCAGCTGGGATGGTTAGGTATTCACGTCAGTGATCTCATTGTCCAGGTGGACATGAATCACCTCAACTTTCACACACAGGCGGGAAGTATAGGCGAAACCAGCATGGAAGTGGGCAGAGGTCAGAAAGGCCTCACCCGGATTACACAGAACCATGGTCAACGAATGGAAGACAGAGCAGCAGCCGCTTAGAATCGCCACGTTTTCTGCATCAAGCTGGGCAGGTCCCTTGCAGTAGCAGGTCAGGAACTGTGCGACTTATTCCCACAGGAATGCTTGTCTATCCCATCAAAATATCGCAGGCCATTGACAGTGTAGTTCATGTCACTCCAACTCAGGCTTTCAGTCCTCAGATCGGTGCAGAGCTTATTCTCACTGATGCCAAGGTTAGTGAAGTCTGAGGTGTCCTTGTCCTTGTGGCATGTGTCTCCTCGGTAGGTCCTGTAGTCCTGGAAGCTGGAGTGGAGTAACGTAGAGATGTCAACCCCATGGTTGGACAGATTATGACTGACAAATGCAGCTTCCAAATCACTCAGTTGGTGACTTAGCTGGTCAGGCTGCCTGGACGATTGGGCCTGCTGCCCACCTCCAACACCACCCATGGTGTCCAGGGAAGAGCACCTCAGCTGGAGCTCCGGGCTGCTTGTGGCCCCAGACTGTAAGAGGCTGACAGCCTGGCGCAGTAAGTGGCTGAGGATGGCTTCCTGCTGCAGGTGCCTGGTCTCCAGCTGCATGATGTCGTCCTCTGCAGTCTGCTGCCAGCACAGGGTCAACTCCAGCAGCTGGGTGAGGGACTCTGGTTTTTGAGGCCCTGGCCCCTCATCTGGCCACAGGGCTTGTGGAGGGTGTCTGATTAGTGACTCGTGGTCTTCTCTGTATTGGCCTCATTGGGCCAGTCTTTACCTTTCAGGGGACAAAGTGAGAATTTTCCAAAAAATAACCTCTTTATAGTACTACTAATCTGTAGATCAAACAACGGACACATTTGGTGGGTCCAGAGTTTCTAGGAGTGCCTGTAGCTTTTTTCCTGGAGATAAAAGGCCAGCCCTGCCACAACCATAGGGCCCGCCTGCCCCCTGAGACGGCACTGTGTCCCCTGCAGCTTCTGTCTGCACTGGGTCTGGCCTTCTTACTTTACAGAGGTAATAAATTTATCATTTATTTTGGAAGAGATCCCCTGGTATTCCTCAGACCTCTGGACACTCAAACTTTTTACTAATCTGATAGATTCCTAAATCTTCACAGGGTTAGGGGATTTTTTTCCCCCCAGCTTTATTAAGGTATAATGAACAAACTGTAAGATGTTGAAAGGACAACCTGATGATTTGATATATGTATACATTGTGGAAGGATCCCTCCCCCGTGAAGTTAATTGACACCTCCACCACCTCACATCTTTATCTTACATGTGAGAACATTCAAGGTTTACTTTCTTAGAAAATTTCAGTTAAACAATACAGTATTATCAACTGTAGTCAGCATGTCATACATTAGATCCTCAGACTTTATTCTTCTTACAGAAAGATTTTTTTTAACCACACATACTGAGTCTATGGTTCATATTGAAAAATAAAATAAGTGAGTTTCTGAATAAGAACAGCAAATTATTTCGGGTCCCTGGGGTACCCAAAAAGGTGAAAAAAGAAATGTTGGATTCATACCTCACACTTAATACTAGGATAAATCCCAAATACATCGGCTGTCTTTATGAAAGTCATTAAAGTACTAGAGAAACCATAGGACAGTGTTTCCATAGTCCTGGGTTGCAGAACACTTTTGGAATTCAGAATTTGTAAAAGTAATAATTAATGAACATAGGTACTTACAAATGAAAAATGTTGGTGTGCAGTTACTACCATAAAGGTCAAAAGACAAAAGCAATCTGGAAAAAAAATATTTGCAACTCCTATCACAATCATGTGATTAATTTCCCATAAGAAGACCCTCCTGCAGATCAACTATAAGTAAAAATTAGATTGAGATTAAAATTAGTTATTTTCAAGCAAAAACTGAAAGGTTGATAATACACTGTGTTTTCATGGATATAGAAAAACAGGCAATCTCCTATTTTGTTAGTGGATTTTAAATTGGTACAACCTCTTTAAAGAGTAATTTAATAACCAGTCAAAAGAACAGGGCACATTGCTCTTGGCCAGGAATTTAATTTCTAGTACATTATCCTATAGATATTCTTGCTAGGTGCAAAATATCATGTATAACAATTTATTCTTTATAGCATAGGTTGCTGCTACAAAAGATTGAAATTATCCCAAACATTCATTGACATTTTGGCAGTAACTAAATAAGTTATAGTACATGGTTACAGCTATAGGATAAAACATGTAGCTATACAAAAGGAATAAAGTAACTCTATATCCTGACAAGGAAAAATCTTTAAGATATGTTGTTGGGTAAAAAAAGGCAAGGTGCAGAACCATATATATGTGACAGCATAACCATATAGAGGCACTAATTTTTTTCACCCAGGAGATATAGTGCGCGCACACGCACATACACACACACATCTGTGTAGATAAGTATATGTGTGTATATTATATATATATTATGCTGTCATTTCTATATAAATTTAAAAACAATACAATGTATATTTTATGTTTGTGTGTATTTGCTTGGTATATATAAACACATTGCTTATGGAATAAAAAAATGGGAGGCTGGGGGACAGATGTTGAATATAGATTTTTTACAATATATTCTTTTGTCTTATTTAAACATTGATATGTGACATTTTTAACCTTTCAGAGTTATTTTCAGGGTTAGATATAATAAAATATTATAAGTACATGTCTTAGATTATGTGTTCAATAAGCAGCCATGTTTGCAGTGGTTGTTAACATTGCTTTGGATCGCTTTTCAGCCTTTTGGTTAAGATCAGGCATAGTATCTGTTCTTACCAGTTTAATATTTGATACATACTCTATCCAAGGAAAATATATTAAATGGATATTTGGAATTAGGAGATGGAATGGGAGCTTGCTCTGTCCACTCCATGCATCGACCTGGCATTGCAATACTTCCAGGAACCACCCCAGAAAAAAGATTGCTATTGGAGAAAGCAAAATGACCAAAAGTTAGGATGGGCTCTCTTAAGAATAAATCAAAGCAGATTACATTTCCATCTTTAATAAGGACATTACACTGGTAAATCATAGAAATGAAGTTAGTGTACAAGTGATTTGCCACGACTTTCCGTAATATCCTTCTAAAACAAGATGGGGAATATATGGGCACAATTCAAAGTTAGGTAAATGGATTAGTGGCTCCTTAAGGCTTTACCCAGATGATTTTAGGGAATCATTAATAATCAAGAGGTAGGTTTATCATGGCCATCGATAATGCTCTGTAGTGTTATATTACTGCATTTAGTATAATATTTCTACATTTTTGTCAGTGATTTGAGTAAAAATAAAAACACCTTATATTACAAATTTGATATAAGATAGAGAAGAATAACAATGAAACCGAACTGCAGAATGAAGAATCCATATAGATCTTTTCAAGCAGAAATTAATGACCTGAATGAAACTTAATGAATAGGTATAAGATCATACACTTGGGTCCAGAAAACCTGAGTTATTAGTATAATTGAATTGAATTGAAATGTGAAAATAAATGCTTAGAATTAAAATGTGAAAATAATCTGGGAGATGTCTATACGGATATATTATCCTACAGTAATAGAAGTTATATCTAGAATTGGTTGGTAATTACCTTCATCTATAGAATTATGCTGGGACCTGAGCACCACGCTTTAAACCCAGGTCTTAGAAGGAAAGTGACGCAAACTGTGGATTCAAAGTACCCTAACAGTGCTAGATTAAAACTGTCAACAAATATTTGAAGAGTTCTTAGATGAATGAGCTGGTTTTCTCACTTGGAAGATTTAAAATAATAGAATTGGGATCACTAGGTAAACATAAGAAGAAAGAGTAAAGGTAAACTTGCTATTGAGGCTTCCCAAAATGCCTTGTCATATAGCTTTCTCCGTCAGTGGAAGTGTGTAGGCATTAGCTGGACAAGCACTCAGTAGGACTGTGCTTATAAGGATTGAAGCATCAAGTGGGCAGCTTGATGAGTTTGAAGTCTTTTTCATCCTGAAATTACCTGTGACAACAGCTCAAAAGAGTTAACACATTAATGCAGTTACCATACAAGATGAATGGTGAACCCAAACTAATTTTGAGTATATAACTTTTTTAAATCTCTGCAGTTCACTTTTCCTGTGTTTTCAAAATAAAATCTTAGTGCTTAGAACTATTTGAAAAGGACACTTTGTATTTGTTTAATATCCACTGAAATTCTTTTGAGTATATATTGCCTAGAAATATTGGAACTCATATATTTTGGGAATATCATGTGTGCTTTTGTATACAGTGAAACCCAGGGAAAAATATTTTTATTTTTCAGAGGTTGAGTTTTTAATAATCAAATATATGATTCTGCTTCCTTGGTATCAAGATCAGAATAAACAAATATATTTGAGTCTTTACATGGATTACGATTTCCCTGAATCATACTTTACATAAATAAAGCTTCAGACTTGCCAATATACAATTTTCTAATCAGGTATAATTAGTCTCAACTTTTTTATATATGTTATAAATTTTTCTTTATCATATTCCTCACTAAATGATTAAACAACCAGTGTTATTATAAAGAAAAATGTAAGAAAGTAGTATGCCACCTGTAAATATGAATGAAAGGACTTTTTATTCAAGTGCTTTAATTGTGTATAAAATAATAGAATTCTCTGAGATATAAAAGATCTGCGTAGGCCCCTGACAGGTATGGCTCATTTGGTTGGGCATCGTCCCACAAAGCAAAACGTTGTGGGTTCATTTCCCAGTCAGAGCGCATGCCTGGGTAAGCAGACTCAGTCCCCAGTCAGGGCACGTACAAGAGGCAACCGATTGATCTTTCTCTCCCTTCAGTGTTTCTCTCCCTCTCTTTCTCACTCACTTCCCCTGTCTCTAAAAAATATATTAAAATCTTTTTTCTAAAAAAAAGGTCCACATAGGTTCTAATTCAAGTTCAATAATTTATCTAATACTAAGTAAAATAATAAGTACCGTATTTTGCTGTATATAATATGCTCCCAGTGTAATGCATACCCACATTTTTGGCCCTAACTTTCAGCAGAAAAAAAAATCTTTAATTTTAATTTTCTAATTCAATTTCTTATTTATTTATATTTAGAAACAAATCCGATTATCATATTCCAGGGTATTATTTTGCATACAGATTTTGTTATTGCTTTCTAGAGTTACACTTTTAACACATAAGCATAAATAAAAGAATTAAAAACATTTATATTGATATGGAATTAGTACTATTCACATATAATTTGCATCCTTATTTTTACCTCAAAAATTTGGACAAAAAAGTGTGTGTTATACACAGCAAAACACTGTAGCAAATCCAGTTTTCATGAATATGATGTTATTACCTCATGTCTGTTACTTTCAATCTCTACACATGTGAAAGATTCTGTCAAAAGGGAAATATTCGTACTTGATCAGTGTGAATAATAGAATAAGTTGAATACACTGTTACATCTGTGGGAGCCTACATGAGAGGCCTATATATGAATCTAAAGTAAACTTACCACCTCGAATTAATTTTAATAGTATTTTTAAGTTATGATTGTTTTAAATGTTTTAAGATATATATTTTACATTTTGAAATTGATTTGCAATTCATTCTGTAAATATTTTTAAATGATAATTGATGTTATGTTTTCAATTTCTACAACATTTCTGATTATAGTTGGATTTTGTCCTCTTTTTTACTGTAGAATACCAAAATAGAAGGTGAATAAGGTAAGGTATTTTTATGTCACACCAGGCTAGTTTAAAGCTTGATGTAGAAGATAGCTTTCTTAAGATTCCATTCAGTGCTTTAGCCCCAAGATTAGAACAGTTTTGGTTTGTCTTTATTCTGCCTTTTTTCATATTATATTGTTTTATCTTTGTTTATCTGTTTTTTAATCTGCTTCTGACTTCTTCAAGTGACAAGTCAATGTATGTATCATTTGCAAAATGAACTTAATGGAATGAAGAATAATAGGATTAGAAATAAAAGCTATAGTACTTCCCCAGCATGTGTGGCTCAGTTGGGCATTGCCTGCAGACCGAATAGTTCAACTCCCAGTAAGGGGACATGCCTGGTTTGCAGGTTCAGTCCCCAGTCAGGGAGAGTACAGAAGGCAGCCAATCAACGTTTCTCTCACACGTTGATGTTCTTTCCTTCTCTTTAACCCTCCCTTCTCCTACCTCTAAAATAAAAAATTAAAAAAAAAAATTTTTAAGAAATAAAAGCTATAGTATTGTACTTAAACTTTATTTCACTTTGTGATAATTTTATTCGTTAATTCTAGATGTCATGGTTACATAATGTAATTCACATCATAATTGTCATTTGAATGCATAAATTCCTAATTCTCAATCGTATATTAAGTTCCTCTTGTCATACTTTGTGAAAGAAAGAATATATAATAAATTCATACTTTTTAGATGATATTTTTAGTATCTGAATTTTTTTGTTTGCTGATTTGCAAAATACTCTCATTAATGGGTTATTCTAATGATTTTCTATAGTTTATAAAATTATATTTTCTTCATTACTTGATTTCTGTTATTCCTTCAATGTTCTATTTTCCCATACGTTTGCTTTATTTGTATTGAAATATTCTAGCCCCATTTCTAAAATTTTCTCTTGGCTTTTAGACTGCTGCTCCATCTGACATAAATTTGTTCACTTGTATAGGATTGTATCTCAAGCTGTACTCAGTACTTCCTAAATTACCCACAAGTGATTCCATTGCTTTCCCCAGTAAAGGTTTTGGAATTAGTAGTAATGTAATAAACATGAAAGCATTAAGAAATTTATTGCTGAGATCAAAAATATCTGTTCCTTTTCAATTCAGACATATAAGGCTCTGTAAGGAACCAATAAGAAAGTCCCATATTCAGATCACAGCATATAGATTTTATTTTATGCCACCTCTCATCTATCTTTCTTTTTCTTTATTGGGTATTGGTCTGATCTGAAATTCCTTGTCCCACCAGCAACAGTGTCCCAGGAAGTCCCTTAACTATTCATGGATAATTTATTGCTTATATTGCTTATATTTTATGCATATTTTATTGGGTAAATGGAACAGTTTGGTGTGGAGAAATGCTCTTTGTATACGTCCTGACATACACCTTTTTTCTCCTCAATTCTGAATAATTCAATGTCCATCACTCTAGGGGTCAATTCACTATTTACCTTCTAAAATCAAGGCTGTGCTCCTTCATTCTATCTTGGCCATAATTTTTTTTAGGTTCTTATTTTAAACAATTTCGTATGTGCACAAAAACTGTAAGAATGGCACAAAGAACCTCTGTATTATCTTTTATCTAGTTTCACCCTTTATTAACATTTTGCATCATTTGCTTTATCATCTTATTCTGTCTCTCTCCCTCCTTCCCTTCCTCACTCATACACACATACACACATTGGGTGTTTGGGGTTTTTTTCCTGAATACTTTAGTACATTGAATACACCATATACTTTTACCTCTTCACAATTTATTTTTTTAGGAATACGTAACCACAGTTTACTTTCAAATATAGGACAACATTAATAGTAGTACTTCTACCCATTTTGTCACTTATCCCAGTAATGTCTTTTTATTACAGTTTATCTTCTGGTACAAGATCTAGTCCAGAATCATGCACCACTTTTAGTTCTCATGCCTCTTCAGTCTCCTTCAATCTCGAACAGTCTTCAATTTTTCTTTTCTATTTTGTTTTCATGACACTTGGTCGTGTGTTTGTGTGAGTGTGTGTATTCTTTTTTCCCCTGTTTCCTCGTCTTCTACTCAGCTTCCTCTGTTACTTTAGGAATGACCAACAATGTTCTTAAACTCGAACCATACCTTTATGCCTGATAAGCTGAGATTTCTAGCCACCTGACTGATATTTTTATGTGGATGTCTTTTTGGAACTTTAAACTCAGTATTTCTAAAACAAACTGTTCCCTGACATAATCA